CCATACTCCAGGCCGTGGAGAAAGACCAATATGCAAAGGATATGGATGCTGCCAAGGACCGATTGGTGAAGGAAAAGAGTGATGAGGCCCGTGCTAGGGGTGATGAGCTGTATCACGTCCGCGGAGAGCTTGATGATGAGCGTGAGAGAGTGAAGGCGAAGGCCGAGGCCGTCGCGAAGATGGCCAGAGCATTGGAGGATACCAAATCTAGGGCCGCCGAGGCGCACGACTTAGAGAAGAGACTAGAGGAAGAGTACAAGAAGTCTGAGGGCAAGACCGAGGACCAGAGGAGACTGAGAGAAGAGCTGGAATCTGTCAGAAGCAGAGCTAACGAGGCTGATTCCCTATCCGAGAGGCTGGAGAGAGAGATTAAGATTTCCGAGGAGCGACAAGAAACCGTCCAGAAAATTACCAGGGAATTAGAAGATGCGAGGTCCAAGGCTTCGGATGCTCACAGTCTGTCTAAGAGACTGGAGGAAGAGATCAAGAAGTCTGAGGGCAAGACCGAGGACCAGAGGAGGCTGAGGAAAGAGTTGGAAGATGCCAGGAGGAAAGCCGACGAAGCTGATTCTCTTTCCAAGGCATTGGAGGACGAGCAGAACAAAAACGAGGCAATTCGCGACTCTGAGAGGAAGCTGATTGAGGACTTGGAGAAGATGAAAGACAAGGCCCGCGATGCCGATAACCTGAGCCGCAAGTTGTCCGAGGAGGAGCGCAAAGTGTCGGAGAAAGACAGCAATCTGACGAAACAGAGCGAACGGCTTTCCGAGCTGAACAAGAAGCTGAAGAACCTGCGCAAGGAGCGAGACGAGGCTAGAAAGGAGGCCAGGAAGCAGAATGACAGGGCCGAAAGTAACGAGAGCAGGATCAAGGAGTTGGAGAGTAGGATTAAGGAGTTGGAGGAAGAGCTCGATGAGGCGAACAGCAGGGTCTCAGACCTGGAGGAGCAGCTGCGCAAGGTCGGTGTGACAGTGGAGCAGCACAAGCGCGGGCTCAAGCGCGGGCAGGAGGAAGCGATCGCCAAGATTGAGGAGGCACAGCAGCTGGAGCAGGAAGTAAAGGAATTCGAGTCCACGGTCGAGGAGACTGACAAGAAGATAATAACGGAGGTGGCTGACATTACCGAGGACGTTCGTCAGTAAGTGCCGGGAATCAACAATTCGACGCGGAGAATGGACAGCACATTCGAGTCGAAGTTTGTAAATCCTTCGTCAAAAGACTTCGTCGGAGAAATCTTCGAAGAGGTCCTTCAAGAAATGAGCGAGATGTATTATTGTTAACAGAGACGTAAAACGCAAGTGGTGTAGAGCACATCGCTAGTGACTAGCATGCTTTTTGTCATTTCCGATTTCGTTTGTGTATTGTAGGTTGTATGATATGCTGTAGTTTCTGCAGTTTACGTAGAACTATCTTGATTTGGAAGTTCACTTCCTACCACATGTATCTGGAGTTTTTGGAGGACACCTTCTCAAGTTTAAAGAGGATGATCTGCCGGAAGCCATGAGACATGAATATAGAAGTGATCAATGTTTGTATTACAAGTGTAAACTTTCAATGAACGTTGTCTTTTTTGTCTATTCTTCGCGTTGCACACACCTATCGCTGAATATGTCGCACCGTGAACTCATGTCGGTGACTGGAGGTTGCATGATATCAACTTGAGAACATTTCCACAAAATTGATTCCAAGCTCCAAACTACGATTACTCTACTTGATAAAATATTCTAATCTACGATGTTGCTCGTCGTCGAGTGTCTCTCCAATTTCACACTAAAATACACAAAAATTATGCGTCCATTCCGTGTGCCACAATCTATAAGATCAAGACTTCAGGATTGATTCTGGAATCCAAGCGGGAGAGCACACGAAATCTTAGTTGCATCTAGTGATGAAACGATGGTGTAATTGCAAACGATGTAAAATTTAAACAACTATTTCAGAGACTACGTCGTGTACATATCGCTGCAAGAGGTGGAATTCAGCTTGCTGATTGAAACCTATGGACCGGTTTTTTTCTATTCCATTCGCGACAGTATTACATCTCAAACAGCGATTCACTGTAATCTTACCAGTTGTGTCCATGAAGCTGATGATTCAGTCCCCGAACAAGTAACGATCTCTGCTACACTCAAAACAAATTTCGTCGTGGCTGGATACCGAAAGTGAGAAACTTGAATTTCGTTCACGGAATGGTGGTTAGCGCCGGTGTTTGCGAAGCGGAAGTTACGATTAGGGTTGGTACATGGCTTCAAGTCGTTCTAAGATTATAAAGTTTGCAATGTAAAAGGTACTATTTGAGCACTAACTTACAGTACATTAGATGCGGTATAATTTATTTATTTATTTATTATTATTATTATTTATTGCCTCTTGTAGTTTACAATAGAACGATTTTATAAATTTTCAATTATTTATTATTAATTTAATTACATGTTCAAAACAGTTTGTGCCACATAATTAGTTATTATACGAATAGCTGCAGTTCTTTCTATAATTGGCTTTTAAAATATGTATAAAGAATAAGAATATAAATAGATTTGTTGATTTAAATTTTAAATAAATTAAATTAAACAATGAAAATATGTATATATATATATATATATATATATATATTCTAAAATTTAATGCAAAAGAGTTATAAACTTAAAAATTTTAAAAGTTGAAAGTAAACATTAATTAATTAAGTCACAAAGAATTTGAAGTATGTTGGAAATATATTTCTTTTAAATACAAAAATTTATTTACATACATGTATATCAATAAAAGTGATGTTTTTTGGCCTTTTAGGTAAACCTTAAATATTAAGTTTTTTAAAGATAAGTTCTTATATGATGTATTCTACAATATATGAATTTCTTTGTTTTTACTTTAAAAGAAAAAAAAAATTTAGAGTTGATTTTTTTGAGGTTTTTAAGTTTATGTTACTTTTCTTTAATAGAAAAATGATACTATTATGTTAATTAGAGTTGCAAAAGGAATAGTATTTGAAGCAAGTAATTCATTGTAATATATTTATGTTTGATAAATTTTAAATGCTATTAATAAATATTTGATTAATATATCTTACTTTATTAGATTGAAGAATTCATTGTTGATAATTGGAAGAGATTGACTACTTTACAGTGCAGCATTAGGTGTTTACAGTGCAGCATATGTCCAAAAGTATATGCCGAGAAAAAAAAAAAATGTTAATAAAACAAAAGTTGAGAAAAAAGAATATATTTGGAGAACAAAAGATCATGTATAATATTTCTCAAAGAGAACTTGCACAAAAAAAATTAATTAATTTTTTTGTATTCTTCTAGTAAGCAATTTTTAGTCCTTAATTTTTTAACTAGATTTAAAGTAATTTAAGTAAAAAAATATTAATTCTTACAAATCTTAAGACATATATATATATATATATATATATATATATATATATATTCAAACAACTATTAAAATATTATAGAGAGAAAAATTTTAAATATATACTAATTTATACACATAAATATATTAGTACAAATATTTTAATCAAAAGCCATTTTATGTGGCACTTTAATCATAAATCTTTGTACTAAATAAAAAGGTATTTTATCTTATTTAACAATAGAATTATTCTATCAAGTTTATAATTTATAAAAACTTATTAACTAATATCTATAATTATCTATAATTATGCTATAATGTTATCAATAATTTAATTTAATCTTTTTCAAAGTTTTACTTTGAATATTTTTATTTTATTTTTTTAACTAACATCGTACAAAATTGGTCCAAAATACATATAATAAGAATATTACTTAGAATATTTTTTTTGAATATATTGTAGCATATTTGATGTTGTTTTGTAAAAAAAAATATAAGATTGTAATATTTGGCTTACATAAAAAAGGCCATAGTAAGAAATATAAATATTATAATTAATTTATAATTTCTATTTCTTTATAAAAATTTAATAATTATTAAAAAAATAACATATGAATTGATAATTCTATAATAATACTATAATCTAAAAATAAAATAAATAAATAAATTAGAAATAATATTATTTTTTAAAAAAAATTATTATAATACATCTAATTTTTAAAAATTATGAATACTAAAACATACTAATACAAATATCCTTGAATGATTTATCATTAGTATATAAGTTTCTTTACTAGCATAAAGAATTTAAATAGTTATAAGGATTTTTTTAACTTTCTAATAAAAGCATATAATGATATCACATACTAAAATGGACTAAGATACTTGAATGACTAAGAAGTTAAAGCATTTGGAACTAGTCTTAAATGATGTATAATAGAAAGCAATATTACAAAGGACATATAATAATAAATAAATAAATAAATAAAAACCTTAAATTCAAGAAAAATACCTCGACCAACTTAAAAATAATCTTTAGAAATGAGGTCATTTCTCTTATCACAGAAAATACAGAGAGAATAAAAAAATATACATCAAAGTAAAAGAATTAGAATTTTCACTATAATATATTTATTAGAATTTTATAAAAAAATAAAAACTAAAAACTAAAAAAAATATTTAATTGATTTTTTAAATCTTTCTAATGATGTAAAAAATATATAAATCTAAGTTATTATGAGTAAGTCATGATATCTCAAAGATAGAATGTAAATAAATAAATTAAATAATTAAAATCTTACAGATAACTTGTTTAAATAATGAAGAATTTTAATCTCACAAAGGCTCACATGTAGCATATATAGGTGTCTTAAAAAGGTCTTGAAGGATTAGTCTTATCCTCCTATCTACACCTAAGATGTTACAATCCATATGAGACTTATGTACCTCTATTGATACAAAGACTATACTAGTTACTAGTCCTCCTATTTTCTATTATTAAAAATATTATTTTTATATTTTTTACTTCACTATGGTGTTTGAAAATACCTAATTATTCTAGAAACATTCTAAAACTTTTAAATCTTATTTTGTTTCTTTATAATGCTTCCTAAGGTGGTAAAAATTATTTTTATCAAAGTCTTAAAAATTACTTTAAAAATTCCTAAAATATTCTAAATAAATTTGAAATAATTATTAAAAAAATTATATTATTTTTTAATACCAGTATTAATTAAAGATTAGATTTTTTTAATTTGGTGACTTTTTATAGAAATAAAATAAATTTAAATAAATTATAAATCTTATTTTTAATATAAATTATTAATAAGATATAAGGTTATTAAAATAAGTAAGTAAAATTAGAAATAAAATAAGCTATCTTATAGAATATATAATCTTAAATAAGTTGTTAATCGTCAAAAGATAGAAGATCTATTAAGAAATATATAAAGACTATATATTAGCATAAAATATATGCTAATGATTATTTTAATAGTGGTCAAATGCCAAAGGATCTTAAGAGCATAAAATATATGCTAAAGCATATTATAGTAGAAGATAAGATACTAAAAAATATATATGGTATATCTTTTGATAAATACAAAAGTCAAAAGATAGAAGTTTTTGATAAAGATAGTAATCACTACCTATAAGTAATAAGTGTTGGAAGTGAAAGTTGTTCAAGTAATGTCATAGACATTAGCATCATAGTATTATCTTAAACATCAAGGTCATAGCCATTAGTGTCTTGGATATAAGTATCATAGGCATTAGTATTATAGATATGAATGTCATAGATATTAGTATAGTAAATATTTGTGTCACAAGCATTAGTATCATCAAAGTAAAAATAGAATATATTATTTTTTACATAATATTATCTTAGATAAATTCCTAGTCTTCAAAAAATTAGCTCTTGGAGTGTACAAAGATCAACAAATAGATAAGCCATAAGATAAAGAGACAAGAACAAGGTCAATAACATAAAGTATCTATTTGTCATGGATATACATAGGTATTCTAGTAAATACATATATGATTAGGTAGAAGTAGATAAAAGTAGATATAAATTAGTTAATTTCATAATACCTTCTAAAAAAAGCTTTTTAGAAGCTTCATAGATACTAATTTAATTTTATATGTGTTTATAGTTAATTAATAGATTAATAACTTAGTCAAGAAGTTAACCACATGTTGGTAGCTTGCAAAATAAGCTAATTATGTGGCGCTCATACAAAAAACTTGCCTTGTAAATTAAGATACGTATCTAGCAAAGTCAACACGTTTTAGATGTCTTATATGATATCACCATGTAGCTCCTAGTTAAGAGTATATATGGAGGCAAGAGTGAAGTCTTCTTCACTCTTGTCAACGCCTTTCTAGTCCTTGGTTTTGTTTCTATACTTTCTACTTTTCTTGTTTTTAGCAATAGTCATTCTAGTTCAATAATATATCATCTTTGAGTGGCTTTTTAGTTCTTTTCAGTGTCACAAGAATGTATTGAGGATTTTTTTCTTCAAGTTTCATGTCTTTAACAGTTTGACAAGAGTGCTAACTTACTTTTTTATCTTATTTTAGAAGTGAGTAGATTCTCACTTCTATTATTATATTTTCAAGGTTATAGATTACCCACCTTTAAATAAATAATCTTGTTTTCTAACAGTGATCTTTTTCTTAAAGATTGTGAATTATCCCATTTTGTGAAAATTTTCATTTAATATTAGAGGTT